TTGAGCAAAAAAATACTTTAGACAAGACAAACAACTAAGATTTATCATTCCACATGACAAAGACCCAGTTTTCAATTTCTTTGATATGGAGAAAAAACTAGTTCCACTTAGATTCCTGCTTTGCAAGGTACAGTCTAGTCTGTCCCTGCTGGGCAAAGGACAAAGGTTAAGGAACTGTTTCTGCCCTTAATCTACCAAGGAGGTTTTTCAAACAAAGAACATCAATAGGCACTGCTTTAAAGGAAAAACATAACCTTTGAATTGGGCCCAGAAATCACTTAAAGCCCAGTGCCAGTGGCTCATACTTGTCATCTGAGCTACGTAGGAGGGTAAAATCTAATTAGAGCTCAGTTTGAAGTCAGCCTGGGTAAAAAAATCTGTGATACTCTTGTCTCCAATTAACCACCCCACACCCACAAATGGAGATGTGGGCTACATGGTAGAGGGTCAGTCTTGAGAAGAAAAAACTAAAGGGCATTGCATAGGTCTTGTGTTCAAGTGTCAGTATTGGCATAAAAAAGATAGATGCAAGTAAGACAGAAAAAGGAAGAAGGAAAAGGAATAAAGGAAGGAAGAAAGGAAAGAAAGAAAGGAAGGAAGAAAGAAAGAGAGAGAGAGAAAAAGAAAGAAAGAAAGAAAGAAAGAAAGAAAGAAAGAAAGAAAGAAAGAAAGAAAGGAAGAAAGAAAGAAAGAAAGAAAGAAAGAAAGAAAGAAAGAAAAGAAACAGGGAGGGATGGAATAAGGGAGAAAGAAAGAAAGAGAGAAAGACTGACAAACAAAAAGAAAGAAAAAGAAAGAGGGGGGAGGGAGGATGGGAGGGAGGGATGCAGGAAGGGAGGAAGGAAAGAAAGAAAGAAAAAGATATCTACTTGACTGTGCCCAACTCCTCCTTCCTACCTGTCTATGTTCTTCAGCAATTTCCTATCCCAAGACCCTGGCCTGATTACTCCCCAGCCATGGTAAGCTCATTCCTATAGATGTAGTCCCTCTCTACATTCTCATTGAGCAGCTCTGTCTGACAGAAAGGCTTCTTGCTGAAAAAACAGAGACTGCTTTCTAGTAACTTCTCTCAAGGAGTTGTGGTTCCACTCCTTAGAGTCACGCAGCTGAGATCGAAGAGGCTCCTTCTACTAGGCAACTTTTGGGGCTTTCATCTTCTCTACTTCAGATTTTAAAAAAATCTAATCCCTCTTACCATCTTTCCAGCACTTGTGGTGAATTATGTTCATGAGAAGCATACACAGATGCTCCACATTACAGGGACCTGATGTTAATCACACAGAACTAGAGTGGGCTAACCCAGACAGAAAACATTCAAGTCTGTTTCGTTCCCAGTTCTTCACTAGGGATCTGACATCTCTCCACCAAGCCAAATGAATTTGAGCTGAAATAATGACTATACTGTTCTTGTTCTTGTTGTTGGTGGTGGTGGTGGTAGTATTTGTGTTTGGGAGGGGGGGTGCATGTGGGCATGTGTTTGTGCAGCTCAAAACAAAGAAAAAAATCAGAAATTCTGTTTTGAAGTTTGGTGGCAATTTTCATGGGGTTGGTTTAGCTATCTTTGAAAGAGGAAGGAGATGAATGTAAAGAGTACCAAGTACCTCCCTCATTAGTTAATATCTAGGAGATTAGGACTTTAACTAGCTGGGCATGGCCTATTTGTTGGTGGGCAGGTGCAAAGACAGGACATGACAGGATAGCAATTCCTGAAACATGGCCCTAAATAAAGATAAAATGCTAGTTACTCTGTACCCCAGCTTCTGCTCTCTATCTTAGGTTATATGGGTTGCCCTGGTAACAGAGAAGCCTGGGATTAGGAAGAGAACTAGAGATGACAGCATAATACTTGGTCAGATCAATCCTTATAAAAGTATCTTTCAGTTAGGCAGGGTCACATTACTTGACTCCCATAGAGGATGATGAAGGGTCATCAGTGGTCTATGTGTTTGCAGAACACCTGAAGTGCTCCACCTTCTGTGGCCTCAAACTCCTGGAGGCCCCATCTGTGTCAAAAAGTTGGCCCAGCATCGGTTCTAGTCCCCTACCTATCCAGGTACTCCTGATTAGGGTATATGTACTTTGATTTTTCAAAGTGGGATTCAAAACTGAGCACAAGACTCCCAAATACAATCTCTCCAAGAAAATCTTCCAAGTTTTGAAATCATACTTTGCAATCATGAAGGCAAGAGTGGCTTAATCCTACTGGAATCTGGTCCATTCCCTACCAATGCCTGAACCATCATTCTAAATTCCCTTCTACCAAAGTAGGCTCAGAGAGGCGCTTATGAAAGTTAAAATGCATTGATTTTTCTATTCAGACTAATGTGAGGTTAAATCCTGACTTTTCCTCAGCACAGAGATTTAGTATAAATAGTTTTTTAAATTACTGTATATTATGATGTTTTGACATCTTAAGAAAAACCTTTCTGTCTAGGAAGGGACTGCTCTCAATGTAACTAATTCTTTTTTTTTAATTTAAACTAATTCTTAGACATAACAATTCAGAGCCAGGTTTCTCTGTGGCCCATGTCCAACAGGAAGTAGTATTCCTCACTCCGCCTCAGTCATCCCAGAGCCAATTGTCAGGCAACTTGGAACCACCCTCTATGTTAGAGCTGAAAGGAATTATGCAACCTAGCCAATCCTAAACTGGCTCTGCATCTAGTTTTGAGTTTCCTGTAGAAAACTCCAATAGAGAAATGGCCTAAGAACTCCTTTCACGCCTATCTTCTGAGTCCTGACTACTACATTCTCTGCTTCCTGTTTCCAGATCTTGTTAATGTAGTAAGTATTTTTCTGAGCCTTCCTTGTTTCCTATCTCACGGAACATTCTCACAACAAAAGTAGAAAACACAGGCGAACTTGGAAAATTCATTTTTCCTAAAAAGAAACAGGCATTGTAGATGAAGAGACTCAGAGATCAAACTACCAGGACTTCTTCCAACAAATATACTCTTGGAAGACGCACTCAGAGTACAGAAAATCATAGCAGCTACCTCATTAAGCATATATAATGTACCTTATTGTAAATCCTTTGTAAGTGTCAGGTTATTTAATTCCCACCAGAGAGGTGGAAGGTGGATATCTTCTGCTATTTTATAGTAGAAGATATAAAGGATAGAAAACTTCGTATTGTTTGCAGAAAATAAAGGTTGGCAGACAGATTAGCATAGCAATCTCAGGATAGAGGTCATGACGTAGTCTAGTGGTAGGTCCTGAGGTCAACTTGGGGAATACTCTTGGAAGGGTTTGTGGCCCCATTCTGCCCCTGGCTCCATGTTTTGAGCTGTGATCTCCTTTCTATATATATGTTCATACTGTTGAGATGCAATCTACCATGAGGTACCTTACAGAGTCAAGCTGGTGCCAGATCCATGACTTAAACAACTAGAACTATGAGCTAAATAAATCTCTTCTCTTGTAGAGTTAGCCTGCCTCCAACATTTTACCATTGTAACAAAAATTGGGTAAATATACTAGCCATTATTATTATCATGACTATCTCTTAAGAGCACTGTAAGTATGGAACCAAATAATGCATGGAAAATAACTAACATGAATAGGAGGTATTAATGAATGTTATCATCTCTACTTATTTTTATTGTGATATATATGTATATATACATATATACATATACATATATATATATATATATATATATAACATATAAAATTAACCAATATAGGTGAGCATATTAACTACATTCAGGTATTTTTTGCAACCATACATACTATTCCTTCTCCAGAATATTTTCACCTTCCCAATCTAGAATGCTATCTGTTAAAAACAGGAGCCCATTTCCACAGCTACAAAGTCTGATTCTGAATACTGTGGGAATGGCATTTAGATGAATTACACAACATTTGTCTTTGTATGCCTGACTTATCTTACTCAGCATAGTATCTTCAAGGTTTATTCAGGTTGTAGCACCTGCTAGCATTTCGTGGTTCCATGGCTTTCTGTTCTGTTATATATACATCACTGGACACTGGAATGTTTTTATCTGCTGGTTATTGTGAATAATGTTGTTTTGGAGAACATGTGTTTCATGACTTGTTCATTTAGAAGTAATTTTCCCACACTTTTTTCTTCTTCAAAAAACACACTTGTACATTTAAGTTATCATATTATCACCCTTATGCTACTGGTCAAAACAAGGATGAGAAGATAATGCAAAATTGCCAAGATCAGATGACTTGACTGGTTAAAGATGTTTATAAAGTGTTTAATAAATTATGTTTGGAAAATTCAAAGGAAATGATATAGGTAGAGATGTGGTATAAGCTGTAAAACACTGAATGAATAAAAGGAAACCACATTCATTGTTGTCATGTTCTTAGACTTCTTCTCTCTCCCTCTGCCTCTCTCCCTCTTTTTTTTCTCTTTCTCTTTTAACCACCAATGAATATGACCAACAGTATTAGGCAAGCTTGAGGAGTTATTGCAGCTCTAAGTCTGATAAAATCCCAAGTCACTTCCTTGGTGAGTTTAACAAATATATCAGCCCTTACATTTCCTACTTCTGCAAGTAATAGACATTTTTGGTAAGACTGAGGCCTCTATTTATTCTTTTTGATAATAGCAATTGCAAGGTGTATAGGTTAAACTCAAGAGAGTCTGGATACTTTGACCAAGTGTATAGACCTATATTGTCTCCCTGTAGGGAGTATGTCACTAAAGTTGCCAACATATAAAGAAATTTAACTTAAACTGCCACATTACTACTGCTCATCAAAGCTCATCAATCTCTTATTATGTTACTGGGATGTTGTGACACTTTTATCACAATTACACTGCAAGCAATACAGTCAAGTCACACTGTGGTCAAGTCAGTGAAGGGAGGGACAGGCTTTGATGGATGATCACAGTTGATCAAGTTTGTCAGTTGCTTTATGTGTTTTTATGCTTGTTTGATATTCCTGCCCAGACAGAAGCGGCTTTTAAGGGCACATCTATCAATTGATTCAATTTCACAGGGCCATATTATTCTTTCACTTACCCCTGTCTTCTCATCAAAGATTTTGATTCCTCCAAAGGAGATTGTTAAAAAGATTTTCTGTTTGTGTTCTCCTTTGGAACGAGCGCCAGCAACAACACCCTGTTAAAAGGAAAGACATAGTTTGTATTTCAGTGTTTTCATTAGAAAATTCCGTCCGGTGCCAAAAGGCACATGAGGTAACAGGGCTACCAATCGCTCAGTCTTTCCCTCTTGACCTTCCATGTGTCTCCATACCACAGGTTCATATCTACCTGATGCTTTGGGATGGCCCTTGGCTTAGCTTGTTCAACATTGTATAAGTACATATTGAAATATTCACTCATATGACTAAGAAATATTTATGGGATGCCTAGAATTTTGGTTAGGAGTTGGGGATCTCATGATAGAAAACATTATGGACTTCATAGTAATACCTTTGCTGGGTTCTGTGTTAAATACAGATATAAAAGGGAAAAGAATTGATACTAAATTTTATGTGTCTATTCTGCCTAGAAAAATTTTGGTCCTCAGAGTTTTATGCTTATTGCCTATAATCTTTATCCAAAGGCAGTTTGCATTTTCTACTATCTCTTCCCAATGCTTTCTACACATTCAAGGAAAGTACCAAGCAAATTCATTCCATTTATTGAAGCACCTATTTCCCCACCTTCCCAAACTTTTCATAAGCCTAATATATACAGATAAGTCAATGATAACTTAGGCTTCACAAAAATCAAGGATGTAACTTTGCTTATTGTTCTAACTCTGGTACTTGAGACAGTCACAGTAAACAATTTTTAAATGAGTGTTTATTATCCAGAGGCTTCAGTCCCAAAGCTGATAGAATTCAAGCTAAGGGTAGTGAGACGTACCTAAATGAGCCTCTTTGGTGACAGTCACAAAGCACAATCTTCCCACTCAGCAAGTAAAGGCATTTCAAGATCACTGCCCAAGGGCCTGGCTCATGCATTAGACACCTTGGGTCTCACAGCCTCTCACTACCATTCATCTAAACATATGTAAAATTAAACCAGACTCAGCAGTTGTGATGGGATTTCAGGAGAAGAATTTTCTAAGATAATTTCAGCTTTAGCTTTCTAGAAGGTAATAGGAGATTATGCTACTGTCAGTACAGAATTTTCCCAGGATTGATTTGGGAAAATGACTGGTATAGAAAGCAGTAAGTGAAGCCAGAGGGATAGAGAAGGCACCATCTTGGAGATCATTTGATTGTTCTAAGTTTGGGTGTTGAAAATGTTCTGTGGCCATACAACATCTGGATGTATTCCTGGTCCACTATTACCTGGAACAAACAATTTAACTTAGTACCAGTTTCACACATGTCAGTATTGCTACATGGTTGAAAGAATTAAACGAAAACTGGTAAATTGTATACCTCATACAATGCCTGGTATAGCAGAGTAGAAATAAGAGATTAATATCTTGTAGTAATTAGTGAATACCCATTACAGTTAGTGGTCCAGTTCCTGCTTAGATAACTATTAGTGGGAAATTCATTCCCTCCCAGGCCGCCCACTCTTTCTCAAGGCATCTAACTCACAGAAACACAGAATGTTCTAACCAGAGAAAAAACCTTGAAATGAATTGATTCAGTTGCCAATTGAGAATGAAAAAAAAAAAGCCTCAAAAAGCAGAGACAACTGGGCGCTGTATTACAGGCTGTAATCCTATCTATTCAGGAGGTTGAGATCTGAGGATCACTGTTTAAAGCCAGCCGGGGCTGGAAAGTCCGTGAAACTCTTATCTCCAATAAACCATCAGAAAGCCAGAAGTAGTGTTGTGGCTCAAGCTGTAGAGCATTCGCCTTGAGCTGAAGAGCTCAGGGACAGGTCCCAAGCCTGGAGTTCAGAGTTCAAGCCCATTCAATGTGGCTCTTTCTTAGCAATACCCTTACTGAGTAACTATATCTTGTTTGTTTCCCTGACTTAACCTTTCTTCATGAATCCTACTGTCAGTCTATCACAGATCAGTTGTCAATTGTCTGCCTGTACACAATGCCCTGCAAGCTCAGTTATGCCTGAAATTTTGTTTTAGTTCTATGTGTTCAGTGCTACCAATGGAGGCTCCCATAAATCAGTACTCCAAGAGAAGTGACCTGACTTTCCTTGACTTGGGGAGAAACTGAAAGGACAAAGTCAGTTGGGCTTAGGGAACTTGACTTTGAAATCTGCGTTTCTAGCTGGACTGGAGTACAATATCATTTGCCTCCACTTCTCTATGTTCCAAACCTCAAGTATCCAGACAAAAGACTGTTTAGGCAACCTCTTGCTACAATCATGTGTCACCTCCAAAGCCAAATGTTTAAACTTAATTCCCAGTGTGACAGAATTTGGAGGTAGAGCCTTTAGCAGGAGAAAAGAAGGCAATACCTCCATAGACATCTTATAAAAAGACACATGCCTTTTGTTTATTCTGCCACAAGAGTACAGTGTTGTTAATCTCTTTCACAGAAATCTGCAACAAGGCCCAGCCTGGGGGAGCGGAGAAACTGGATCACCTCCAGACAATGAACCTAGTAGCATGTTGGTCTTAGACTTTCCAGCCTTCAAAACTATGAGAAAATACATTTTTCCCCTGATGAATTACCTACTGTGAGACATTTTCTTACAGCAACACAAATGAACCAAGAGAGAGCCCCTCACATAGGAAAAACTTGGAGGGCAAGCCAAAGGACAGGGGAGATTTCCCTCTTTGTTCTTCTGAACCAAAGGCAGCACAGGACTGGGAACAGGGAAGAATGCACCCTGGATGGAAAAATAGCTATAATAACTTCATTGCCAAAAAGTCTTCCAAGTACCAGGCTCAAAAACAATCTGGAATAGCAATGACCCTGGGGACATACTGGTGCTGACTAGATTCTAAGGCTTTGTTCCAAGGAATTCTCAAACAATACCATGGTGGATATACATATATATATATACATACATATATATATATATATATATATATATATATATATATATACACACCCATGGTGGAATATAGTATAGTTATCCATATATATATATACACATATATACATATACACACATAAATGTATATCTATATGTAAGAGAAGAGAGAAGAGCCAGCAAGTGTGTTCCTAGAGCATTTGCACTTAAGAATGCTGGTGCTGGTGTTGGCTTCCCATGACAAATGGACATAAGGACTGTGCATAAGATGCTATGTTTGGGGAAACAGAATGTCCACTCTGTATATCACCTTTATAATGGCAACAAAACAATAATAACAAAAAATTTTAAAAGAAAACTAACCTTAATCCTAATATAAAAAAATCCAATTTTATTAAACTATCTTTCTTTCACTACCATAAGGAGCCAGCAAAGGCCTCAAAGACAACTGTGATTAGGGCCTTTGCTTATCTGCCTGCTTGTGCTACTTGGGGCTGGTACCAGCTAAGCAGCTACTTAGCTACCTGAATTCATCACTGTTAGAAACCTGGAAATCAACCATGTTCTTGGGTGTCTTCTGTATGCTAATTATAAACAGGAGATAAATATCTGCTTCATAAGATTCAAGGACATAGTATCTGTGAGAGTGTTTGTTGTCTATAAATTAAAACACATTGACTACAATTAAAATACATTTTTGCCTGCACACAGGCCAGTGACCACTCATATTCGCAATACAAATCCCCTGTAAGACCTCTGTAATCCCAGAGAACATTCTCTAATGAAAAATGCTCCAGCTTCAGAAACTAGTAAAAGAGAAAGGGATTTTTTCATTTCTCATACGGCTTACAATGAGCAAGTGGGTCTTTTCTGAACACTAAGAGGCATTTTGTACTTCTCTGTCTCTTCTTTGCCTGGGCAGGTGGCCAAATGGAGAATCGATCATTTATGTTTCTGTTTCCTAAAGAAAACACCACTGGGAGCCAAAATGTCAACGTTCTTCTCAGCACCTTGCGAATAATGAAACACAATTTTCAAGGAACCAAGAATGCTTCTACAAGTTGACTGTATCTGACAGGAGTGTTATGGCAGGACAAACTCTTAGGGTTTCAGGAACCTCCTGGTTGTGGAGCATTTCACCATATGTAACACACATACATGTACACATATGCATGCATGCACACAAGAATAACACACACACACACAGGCACACACACACACACAGAATGTTGGTAATCATGGTTGGACCTTTTCCAGCTAGGGTGGCCCAATGTTAATCCTGTGGGAGAACTTTTCAGAAGTAAAGCAAATCCCTATTTCATATCTACTATGTCCTTCATGATTCCATGAAGGTACTAGGCCAGTATTGCTCTACAACAGGTTCCTGTTGAAAGGATGTCTTTTGGATACTGGAGACAAAAAAAATGCTTGACTTCTCTCCTCCTCAGAAGACTGGTGTACTGGGTGAGAATTAAGTCTCTGTATATAGGGGGCGGGGGGGCGCTGCTAAGTATAGCATCTTCTTGATGCTATCGTTTAGATCCATTTATTTGTCTGGCTTTGAATTCAGTAAGGAGGTGGCTTCATGAATAATCAAGACCCAGGTCTTTATCCTCATTATGACTATAATTTTGTTGGAGTGGAAGGAAAGCTCTAGCAGACTTTGGAGTCTGAAGAAGTCTGAAGAATATGAGGCTCAAGCTCTAAAATCTGATTTTCAGCACATGTACTACATTCAACTCTGAGGTTGGACAGGGTCGGGATAAGCCAAGCAGAATGATCTTTCTTATTCAAGGGCTCCCACTGTATCCAGGTCACCTTCTTGGTGATGGTCAGCATGTACCAGGTCCAAAGGTAGCCTTTAGATTTCTTCCTGTACAATACTTTCTCCTGTTTTCATTCATGTTTTAGTTTAGAAAAAAATGAGGGCCTCATTATTGATCCTTCTCAATTATGAAAAACATACATTAATTCTGAAATGATATTTTGTGAAATTATGGTTTTGATTCCTTTATACCTTTAGTATACTTATACTAGAAGTCAAACTATTAAAGATTGTTATATAACATCTTAAGAAAAGAGAGGCAGGTAATTGTAACTGCTCTGTATGGTATTTTCACAATAGAATAAAGAAAAGAGAGGCAGTTCTGGACTGGTGGCATATGTCTATAGTCTTGGCTATATGGGAGACAGAAGCAAGAGACTGAAGAGTGAATTTGTGGCCAGCCTAGGAAAAGTTAGAGAAGATCCTACATCCAAGACTGAATACATGGCTCTAGAGGGTATGGTTGAAGTTGTAGAATTCTTGCCTAGTAATCTATGTTCTGAATTCAATCTCCAATAACCCAATCAATCAATCAATCACCAATGTCTACGAAAGAAAAGGCGATGTAGGGCTGGGAAGGTAGTTCAGTGGCAGAGTGCTTGCCTTGCATGCATGAGGACCTGGGTTTGATTCTTCAGCACCACATAAACAGAAAAAGCCAGAAGTGGCACTGTGGCTTAAGTGGTAGAGCGCTAGCCTGAAACTAAAGAGCTGAGGGACAGCGCTCAGGCTGAGTTCAGGCCCTATGAATGACAAAAAGAAGAAGAAGGAAGAGGAAAAGAAGGAGGAACAGGAGGAGGAGGAACAGGAGGAGGAGAAGGAGGAGGAGGAGGAGGAAGAGGAGGGTAGGAGAAGGAGGAGGAGGAGGAGGAGAAGAAGAAGAGGAGGAGGAGGAGGAGGAGGAGGAGGAGGAGGAGGAGGAGGCTGGGAAGGTGGCTCAGTGGTAGAGCGCTTGCCTTGCATGCATGAGGCCCTGGGTTCGATTCCTCAGCACCACATAAGCAAAAAGAAAAAAGCCAGAAGTGGCGCTGTGGCTGAAGTGGTAGAGCACTAGCCTGAAACTGAAGAACTGAGGGACAGCGCTCAGGCTGAGTTCAGGCCCTATGAATGACAAAAAGAAGAAGAAGAAGAAGGAAGAGGAAAAGAAGGAGGAACAGGAGGAGGAGGAGGAGGAGAAGGAGGAACAGGAGGAGGAGGAGGAGGAGGAGGAGGAGGGAGGGGAGGGGGGGGGGAGGAGGAGGAGGAGGAGGAGGAGGAGGAGGAGGAGGAGGAGAAGGAGGAAGACGAGGAGGAGGAGGAGGAGGAGGAGGCTGGGACGATGGCTCCGTGGTAGAGTGCTTGCCTTGCATGCATGAGGCCCTGGATTCGATTCCTTAGCACCACTTAAGCAAAAAGAAAAAAGCTGGAAGTGGCGCTGTGGCTCAAGTGGTAGAGCACTAGCCTTGAGCTGAAGAGCTGAGGGACAGTGCCCAGGCCCAGAGTTCAGGCCCCACAACCAGACCCAAAAGAAGAAGCAGAAGCAGAAGCAGAAGCAGAGGCAGAAGAAGACGATGAAGAAAAGGTGATGTAGTGGGTGTTTTACCAATATTTTTAGGCATTTATTGTATTTTTCCACATTCCTCCAACCTGTTTCTAGGGCTTGAACTGAGGGCCTGAGCCTTAGTTTTGTGCTCAAGGCTAGCTTCAAATGACAGGTCCACTTCTAACTTTGGGGTAGTTAATTGGAAATAAACACATATCTTGAAATATCCTATCAATCTGGTCTTGAATTGTGTTCTTCAGATCTCATCCTCCCGAGTAGCTAGAATTGTAAGTGTAAGCCACTTCTTTTGCTCTAATCCTTAAAATATATCCTCATGGACTAGTGCAATGTATGTAAGAGTGCTCATATATATTATTAGGGGAGGAAAAAGACATGTGATATACGAAGACTATAAATCATACACAAAATGTTAATATTTATTTATGGGATTTGGACTTAGTTCTATTTCCTTCCTTACCATTTTGAATATCTTCAAAATATTTTATAATTAACATATATGAACTTTATAATCTCAAAAATAAATTATATGTTTTAAATGCAGAAAATGTAAAATATAAGCAGAATATATATATACACCAAATTCTTAGCATGTTTAATAAAACAATTTACTTGTTTTCCAAATCTAAAATAAATTTTAAAATTCAGATTTTTAATTTCATCCTCAGCTTTCTCAATGAAAACACTCTAATACCTTTAAAATCAGCAATCTCTTTCTGTTAACTTCTAATTATTTAGTTCTCATTACTTTAAAGATACCATTTTTCTTTTATTATGAACTGTTTGGAGTCAAATAATAGGAATTATAAGAAAAAGTCACTTTGCACCTTAACATTTACTGCATGAAAAAAAATGTAAAATTCATAAAAAATGGTAACTTTGCACTTTCAAATTTCTAAGAGTCTTATGATAAAAATAAAATTGAGTATGCTACAAAATACACAAGAAAGATAAACATGGCCAATGGCAGAGAAGTAATTCAACTAACACAGGCCAGCTAAGTCATCTTCTTCCCAGTAAATAAATACGATGCTTCATCAATGAACCAAGCAATTAACTAACAGTGGTATAAAGTTCTCTGTAGTAATAATTGCAGTCATGTCTCTCTCATTCATATAAAGCCTGAGAAACTCACAATGAAATGCTTGCACAGTACCTTGAGTTTCATCATGGAATCTTGACATAACTTGTCTCCCCGAGCTGCGGAAACTTCATCAATCCCGATCAGTTTAGCTTTGTACCGGACCCCTTCACCTTTAAATCTCTTGATCAAAGTGGCTTCACTGCGATCCTGACCTAGAAACAGTAAAAAATAGATTCAGGTACAAAGTTATGGAAGGCTCAATGTTTGTAAATAGCTAACTCTCCAAAGGCCAATCTGTTTTTGTTTGTTTGTTTGTTTTACTTTTTAGGGAAGTCAAATCACTGGTACCAAGAGAAAAAAGATTAAAATTTCTAAGTGTACACTCTTGCTCCAAACATTTAAATTCTGCTGAAAATTACTTCTTTTGCTTGAGCTTCATTTAGGCTGAAAAGTCTTTGAAAATAGTATATGAGGATGAAAGGGGAGTATTAGGACCAGGTTATATGATGGAAGAAGAAAACAAAGGCCAAACACAGCCAGAATATTCAGTATATAAATGTGGATAAGGGAGCGGGAAGTATGAAATGGGAACGATGGAAGGAGTGGCTCTGATCAAGAAATAGTAGATGCTTGGATGGGCATGTTAAATTATAGCTCCTTTGTACAACTTTTAGAAGTTCAGAAAATAAAAATAATACATCAGATAACATATGTAAGTCATCAAATTCAGCATTCGGTACATAGTTTTCAATGATAATTAAGAGTCCATGTTCAAGAGTCTTGTTAGAATCAGAACTGAGTCTCCAGTATTTCCAACTTCTAATAATATTTTGGCCAAAGTCCAAGACCATCTTTATATCCAATTCCACGGGCTGTTTTATAGTCAAACTTCATAGTAATTGCTTTGTATCCAGTAATAACCCAAGACAATTAGTAAAAACATGATTTTATGACATCTCTTTTGCTTACTCATGTGTGTAGGAAAATAGGTCTCCATACTACTTGGTACTGAGTGTCCATCCCTGCAACCAGTTCTCTTGATAATTATTAACATAATATTATGCTAAGTCAACCAGAGATCAAATATGCCCATATAATGTAAGGACTGTAAAGTTACCGTGAGCAAGTGCTTCATAAAAGATGTTTGGTAATTTTTATATCTACTCTTCAAAACAACTAAGCCATTTCCATCCAGATAATGAAGATAATCACATGATTCAGATAGCTTGTTCAAGTTCACAGAGCCCTAAATAACAGGAAAACATAGCAATTCAAACTGCTCTAACCTCATCACACTTTGACTAGTCAGGGATCTGAGAATTACACGCAAGCTTCCTAAAGACTAGAACACTCCAGTCCTTTGACGTTCATTTCCCAGAGAACCACTGAAATCTCATTCTTCTATTGTGTCTCAACGTGGACATAAACTTATACTAAGGACAGTAAAAATGATGTAGCCCCCTCCCCTCCATTTATGTGATGTGTAAAGTCTTTCTATAATATGGGTTTGAGAATTACCTGAGGACCTGCTTAAATGAGATGAAATGACATCAATAGCTAACCATAGTACAGTGCTTTATCTACTGATGAAATTGTTTCCATTCATTCATTCATTCCATTCCATTCCTTAATTCATTCATTCACTCATCTCTTACTGTTTACTCTGTGCCAAATGCTATTTGTAACTCCCTGACAACAGGAGAGGGAGACAAAAATCTGTGCCTCTAGAAACTCATTTTTGGTGATTGCAAATAAACACATACACTACACATAATAGTAGGTGTATAAGAAGACTGCCTTTATAAATCCCAGCCTTAGTTCATTACAAAGGAACTAAAACCTCACAGAGTTCATATGAAGCCTCTTCAATGAAATAATGTGTGTAAAAGCATACATTCATTCTTAGGGTAAACTTTCTGTAAAGGGTAAGTGTAGCCATTACAATCATTCCTGTAAAAGATGCATATAGAAGATAGCTTGCTGGGGAGACAGGAGGCACAGAAGAGAACTGTTCACAGGACCAGGCCTGGATCTGTAGTCTACAACTTGCAGAGGACATATTTTGTGCTGCATCTTGTCATTCCTAGCCTATCAACATCTTTGACTAATACTACATGAAGAAAATAGAGAGCATGAATGATTAGTCAGAGTGTAAACATTGTAACATTGGCGTTCTATGAAGGCAGAGATCAGAGATTAGAGATGGGGCTTTTTGCCATGATATACTTTTTATTGTCATCTAGCTAAGGAACAAGGCTTATGGTACCATAGTCTCCTTTCCTTGCCTTAATATACACAGTTTGGTAAGGGCCACCTACAGATTGGTTTAAGATTTCTTGGGAAGGTTATCTTATTCTATCTCAACTATGATCTGTACTTCATCAACACATGACATTATTTTAGTAACTAATAACACTCCTTTCAGCACTGGGAACTGTCACAGAAATACCAAGCAGCATTTGTCAGAGAATGCATCACAGGTACAAACAAACATATTTGGCCCTGGAAAAATCCCAGAGATAGCTATTATAATTCAGGTTTGAAATTGAAGAACTGAGAGGCCATGAAACTTGTCAAAACTCGCTTAACAGGACCTGACCCAGTTTTATCCAATTCCAAACCCTTACTGAGGATTTGTTTGGGTTTCATGCTTCAAGGCTCTTCTTTTCAATACCATGATGGATTGCTTCTCATGTATATACAACTTCCATATAAAGCCTTGTATCAAAACTCACCTGGCCCAAATATGGTCACATTGGTTATATTGGAAACATACAAACTTCATTCAGTGGTAGATGGACAGATTGTTTGAAATAGAATATACATCTTCCAGCAGTTACATTAAAAAATTCTCCCAAATCAGATATGCATAGTACCTGAGAAACATGTCAGAGCATAGAACTCTGCTGAGGAAAGAGATTCCTAAGAAAAAGCTGAGCCAGAGCAGGTGAACAAGGGCAGAGATTAATAAGAAAATATTAGGCCATTTAGAGGAAAGTAGAAGCACAATTTAGATTAAGGCCTAGGGCCAAGCTCATTTGTATGAAGGGCACTTATGCAGTAGATAATCCAGTTTCTCATTAAATGTTCGACCATTAAAAGGGTGATTTTTCATGAGCACATCTTGATCAAGGTCTCAGTTATATTAGTTAAGAAATAAATAACAGATAGCAGAGTCATAAGTCTGTAATTCCACCAGACACATACAAATTTGAGAGTATTAAGGAGATCAGATCAGACTTTATGCATCCTAACTTATTTCCAACTTATTTTGAACTTATTTATGTAACTTAGTTCCAACTTATTTTACCTATATGAAAACACTGACTCTGTGTTTCAAGATAGTGTTTAGGGAAAATTATCATCATGATCACGCTCCACTATAGAGTATTTATGGTATCAGTTACTATGCCAAGAGTTTCATATCAGGTGATCCACTTGCTCTTTAATGAACATTATTTTATAGAAAATCATACCAGTGCCCAAAGTCAGCACCAAAGCCTGATTTTTTGGCTAATTCTTGTGCCTGAACTCAGGGTCTGGGCACTGACCCTTAGCTTCTTTGTACTCAAAGGTAATGCTTTACCACTTGAGCCACAGGGCCACTTGTGGCTGTTTCTGAGTAGTTTATTGGAGTTATGAGTCTCATGGCTTTCCTATTCAGGCTGGCTTTGAACCGAGATCCTCAGATCTCAGCCTCCTGAGTAGATAGGATTACAGGCGTGAGCCACTAGCACCTGGCCAGCTTGAATTTTTGATGTCATCTTTATTGAGATAGAATTATGATCCATACATTTGCCCTTTTAAAGTATACAAGTCTATGGTGTTAGTATATTTTCAGAATTGTATAGCTATCACTGCTATTTGATTTCAGAATATTATCATTATTCCAAAACATGTGTATACCTGTTAGCTGCTATGCCCCAGGTCCTCATTACCTCCAGTACAAAGCAGCCACAGATATCTTTCAGTCTCTATAGATCTTATTCTAGATATTTTATATCAATGAGATCATATATCAATGAGATCTTCTGCATCCAGTCTGTTTTACTTGGCAGCTTGTTTTCAAGTTTAGCACACATCTATCTGTACCTCTCTCCCTTTAGTATTTGCTGTTTCTCTTCCGCTCCTCCTTTCTTTCTTTCTCTTCATTATTATCCCATAATGTGTTTATAGCACAGAAGTTGGTGAGTATTTTATGTGTTTTCTGTTTGCTTGCTATAATAAATAATGTTGCCATAAATATTTTTGTGTATAAGGTTTTGAATAGAAATGTATTTTCAAATCTCTTAGGATTAAATACCTAGAGGAGGAATTTCTAGGTCATAGGGTAACTCTATTGAGAAATGTTCAAACCATTTTTCAAAATGTACCATTACATCATCTCACTAGTCAAGTAAAAGGGATTCCAGCTTCTCTGCCAGATGTTCTTGCCAGCATCTGTCACTGTCTGTGTGCCTTTGACACTTAGCTATTCTAATGGGTGTTAAGTAGTATCTCAATGCATTTCTCTTTGGTAGGGAGAGAACTAGGAAATACTATCAAAATGTAGATAATAGGTAAAATTGTAAAAGCAAGTATCTCCCAGGTAAGGAAGCCACGAAAAGGAAGGGAAGCCCAGAGGAAGAAAAACTATATTTGTATTAGACTATCAAAGCCCTGCTTGTATTTTAGAATCACCTGGGTGATTAAAAGTATCATGCTGCAGAGCTGGTGGTTGGGTCAAATGGCATAGCATCTACTTAGCAGGTGTGAGGTACTGAGTTCAAACCCCAGTATGAAAAAAAGCCCTAAAATTAAACAAAATAAACTAATCAACCACACAAACAAAACTAAAATCACCCTACAGACTTGGATTAAACTATTCTAGGAGTGAATCAGAGCCAGTTGAGGCTTAGAAAGCAAAACCTAGAGCATATGGCTACAATGATGCTGTTAAGTGTCAGGACAGGCATGATCACAAAAAAGCTTGAAAGAGTAAGTTTCTTTCAACCATGGGAGCTATAAATGACCCAGATTTTTTGTGAGGATTAGATTAAAAACATATTAGCAGCTGGGCGCTGGTAGCTTACGCCTAGCTACTAAGGAGGCTGAGATCTGAGGGTTACAGTTCGAGGTCAGGCCAGGCATGAAAGTCTGTGACACTATCATTTCCAATAAACTACTCAGAAAAATCCAGAAGTAGTTCTGTGGCTCAAGTGGTAGAGCGCTA